AGGGGAGCTGCCCGGTGGCCAGAACCCGGCGCCAAGCTGTGCAGGCCTCCCCGGAGTGGCTGGTGCCCAGGGATGGGGTCCGGGCTGGACCCGGGGACTCACCTCTGGTCCAGAAGGGAAGTCCGGGCGAGCATAATTAATTTTATCTAGCAATAACCATTATGAAATATTCATATGCATATATATTTTATGGTTCCTTAAAAATATTTCTTGATATTTGATATTGAAATATAATTATGTCATTTAATGTTTTTAAAAATTGTTGTTACATATATATTTATAGATGTATAATGTTAACGTTATTATTCTATATTATACCTCAACTTTTTCTAATCACAGTCATTTATCTAATTCATCTTTATATTTCAGATTTCCAATTATTTTACAAGTCAATGGGTTCAATTAGAGTTACTTATAATTTTGTTTTAATTAGCATACCAAATATTGGTCTTCATTACAACATCCTCGTACAACTCCTTTTGTTCATTTTCTTCCCTCTTCCCTCCTTGTACTAGATTTTCTTATCTCTTTTCTCCCCTCATTTCCTCCTCCATGTCATACAATATTCATAGCTTTCCCATCCCTCTCTATGAAAATTTTTCTTCCTCTCATGGTCACTTGCTAATTTCATGATTTTCAACTTTGCCATCCTATGTATAATGAAAGTCTAGAACCTAATATCATCCTGTTCTTCATTCTTGTATCCGTTTACATACCTGTGTTAATCTCTCTTTTCAAAGTACAGAATATTCCATGATTGTGTATATGTCTCTTGAACAGTGGCCATGGTGATCTTTCCTCTCTTGTTCCTCTTAGTGTGTGTACTGCTCAAGTGTGATCTGTCATCTACTTCCCTAGCACTTAGTTCAGAATTTGGCTTTTGCTTCTAACTTTATAAGACTTTTACCAAGAGAGCCCAGCATATCATGTGTCTGACAAGCTCTGTCTTGACATATTTAACATCTGCTATAATTTTTCCATCTCTACTTTCAAAGTTTCCATTCAGGCTTCTGTCTTTTTGTAGTTTTTTCTTAGCACACATTCCATATTTACTAATTCCCAGTCTTTTCTGGGTTCCACCTGTGTGAAAGCATAAGGATTCATTAATAACCAGCCCAATTATGTATTTGGACTCAGGTAAGACACCTGATCTGTCTAGCTGTCTTGACAGACTTCTTATGGAGATAGAAGTCAAAATTTTTCTGAATGTTAGTAGAAAGACTTCATTCTCTCTGGTTCATATTCTGCTCACCCAATTGCCACATTCTGTGTATCTCTACTTATGACTCATTTGCTCCTTCCTGTATCTATACTTTATGTTATAACCAAGTGTCTGTTCTTGTATATTTCTTTTCATTGTCTATATCAGTAAAATACTCAACAAGGTTGCCTTTATGTAAATTTCCCACACTCATTTTCTTGTGGCCTCCCACAGCTTTTAGTGTATAGAACATTTTTCTGTATCACAAAGAGAACGAAAAGCGTGTATGCACCCTCTTACCTGTGATCTTTATATCAATGGGGACACTAGGGTCTGACCACTCATATGATGAGTGATTGTAAGAACCATAGCATTTGTAAGTTCCAGCATGGTCAGGTGTCACAGGACCTATTGAGAAGTTGGCCTGGGAACCCCCTAGATGATGTTCTGCAGAAAGTTCGAGAGAGTCCTTGATTGTTCCGTATTTATGTGAAGTCAAAGTGAAGGTGTCAAACATAATCTCTGATCGACACTCCAGTGTCACCTTCTCTCCTAAATTCACCAGAGGAGTTTGTAAGGCCAAGAGGAAAGGCTTCTTGTAGATTCCTAAGAATAAAAAAATTGTATGAACCTTATCAAAATCTCTGTGTCCTTGAAGACCTATGGTTTTCCTCAATTGGTCTATGCTCCCTGTTAGTGCTCCAGGGCACTTGTTCTTGTCTGTTTCAACTCTGGACACAACTCCTCCATCCTTTTGTGTCCATTTCCTACTTATCTGACTCTAGGATTATCACAATATTTTCCCACTGATTTGTTACAAGGATGTGTCTTTTAAACCCTTTTTTCATAGGCTCTATTGTCTTTTTCTAAGACTAGAAAGTGCAGGAAACATGGCAATATTCACACCAGGCTACTCTATGTTTCCTTTTTATGCCACTTAGGATGAAGTAGAATCCTTGGCAGAGTGAAGGAATTAGTATTGAACATGGTTATCCGGGAAACACTTCAAGTCCTATGCTTGATTCAAACCGCTATAAGGCATTCTGATTCAGAATCAAAAGCATTGTTTCCTCTCAACGTGTTGATGAATTAGCTTCATGACTTGACGGATCTCAGATCATCTCTTCCATGCTTCCTAATTTGCCCTCAACACGAGTTCCTATATTATTTTCCAATTGCTAACATATCAAATTACCACAAATTTCATTCTTAAAAAGAATACAAGTTTGTGGAGATCAGAATTCTGAAAAGCCCAAATGGCATGCCCTCGACATGAGTTCCTATATTATTTTCCAATTGCTAACATATCAAATTACCACAAATTTGATTCTTAAAAAGAATACAAGTTTGTGGAGATCAGAATTCTGAAAAGCCCAAATGGCATAAATCAGGTTTCTTCAGGGGTAGTAACTACTGAAATCCCTAGGAAATTTTCCTTTTTTGCTCTCCAGCTTCTATAGCCTCATGCATTCCTTGGCATTTGGACCTTTCTTCCATGTTCAGTGTTTATGACAGGGGGTCTCTCTCATGATGATTTGTTTTGCCCACAACTGAATTTTTTCTTAATATGTTACATCAACAATTGTAGTTCTACAGACCTGGAACAATTCAGGATAGTCTTGCATCCTGATATCAACTTGTTAAGATCTGAGTTCCATCATTCAGTCCAACTTTTCCTTGGCTTATTTAACACACAGGAAGCCTTAGGGATTTGAAAAATGCATGACCTTTTACGTCTTATAATGCCCAGAACATTATATATTTCTCTGTGTTGAATATTCCTTTATAAGTCCAAACTTCTTACTAACACTATTTCTGAAAATTCCAGCATTGGGAGATTTGGGGAAATGAAAGGCACTCTAAACATCATCTCTAACCTGAAATTATGATCTTCACAGGGTCACTTTGGGCTGAAATTTTAAAAGTGTGACGGAGATTAAAACCATAGCATCTGTATGTCCCTGCATGTTCTGATGTCACTGGATCCAAGACAATTTTCTTCTGGAATGATCTTCCCTGGATCTGAGGGATAGGATTACCATGTTCTTTGTACAACTTGAATTTGTAATAGTTACTATGAGAGTCACATTGAAGTTCCACATGCTGTCCCAAAGGAACAATATGGCTTGGCCAGGCAGAGAGGGAAGGCTTGTCATGACTTCCTGCAGAGGGATACACAGAGAAAATATTTAATGATGCTCCTTCATCCCTGAGAGGTGAGTCTCCAATTTTCTCCTCTTTGAGGTCCTTTGTATAACACTTTTCTCTGAACTGATACATCCCTTCTTCAATGTAAGTGTCTGAGATGTTCAGGAGATTCAGAAAGTAAACAAACTTTCTCTGTCATGCAAAGGTGAAACATTCAACATTTATCGGTGGCCCTTCCCAGCTCTATAGAAAGAGTGAGACCCTGGGCCAGCTGAGCTCTGAGTGCTAATGTCTGAGACCTGTTGGGCTGCCTGCAAGTTGTGCACTGATCTCCAGGGTTTTGGCTTTATGAAAATCACTCATATTGGGGTGTGCTTTAAGTAAGGTTTGAGTCACCCTTGCTTCTGTGAGTAATCCCTAATTCATACTGCTATCAGTAACTTAGAAAACCCATAGATTCACAAAGTTATGCTTTGGTGCAATCACTGTTTGCTCTGCTATGGATTTCTTTGATGAGGTGAACAGATTTGTATGTTGTACACAGAGGGCCATTTTGAAGTGATGAGTGTGAGAGATTGTGGTTTTTAGAATAGTTATGGTCCCTATAGACTCTTCTGTTTAATTGCATGGTGCATAGGGAATATCACTATTAGGAGGTATGGCCTCATTGGAGTAGGTGTGGCCTTGGTGGAGGAAGTATTTCACTGTGGAGGCACACTGTGTAGTCTCTTATGCTCAAGCTATTAACAGTGTGAAACACGGTCTCAGTCTGCTGCCAGTGGATCAAAATGAAGAATTCTCTGCTCCTTCTCAAGCATCATCATCATGACTGCCTACACACTGCTAGGTTTTCTACCATGATTTTAATGGACAAAAACTCTAAACTGTAAGTCAGCCCCAATCTGATATTTCCATTTATTAGATTTTCCATGGTCATGATGTCTCTTCATAGCAATAGAAACCCTAAGACAAGACTGCAAGTGTTTTCCAACATACCATATATATGATATATCTTTCATGCTAAGATATTCTTTTTTCCATTTATTTATTTATTTATTTATTTATTTATTTATTTATTTATTTATTTATTTATTTATTTATGTTTTGTTTT